TATTTACAAAGTTGTGCTACCATCACCATAATCTCATTGTAGGACATTTTCACTTCTCCAAAAAGAAGCCCTGTGCTCATTTGTAGTCACTCCCTCACCCTCCCTGCCCCAGCTCTGGCCGCCATTACTTTTGTCTCTGCATGGATTGACCTATTCGGACATTACATGTAACTGAAATCACACAGCATGTGGACTTTTGTGACAGGCTTCTCTCGCTTAGCATAGTGCTTTCAGGGTCCATCCATGATGCAGCATGTATCAATCTTTCATTCCTTTTTATTGCCAAATAATATTCCATTGGTAAGATAGGCTACATTTGGTTTATGCGTTTATCAGGTCGTGGACATTGGGTTGTTTTAACTTTTATTATCTTTTCCTATACCAGCATCTTCTCTGGTTTGCTTAGACTCCTTTAATGGTCCCAGTTCTTCCCCTCAAACAAAACTTCCAGGTCGGTGAACTTCTCCTTCCAACACGCCTGGACCACCGCCTCCTCACGTGTGTTGTCTGTCCCTCTTCTCCCTTCGTCCCCAGGACTGCTCACACTGAGCGTCTCGTCTTCTTGCTCCTGGGTCGCCGGCCCGGCTCCGAGCTTGGGCCTTGACCCGCCTTTCCCACTGCTTTCCACCCGATGCCTGCAGAGTCCCCGGCACCACCCTCCTCGGGCGCTTCCCGTGACTCCCCGGCCTCCCCCGACCTCTTACCCCCAGGCCTTCTGGGCCCCACAGTCTGATCCCAGGTCTCCTTTCCAACTTGTCTCCTCTCCCTCCCCAGGCACCTCCCCTCCCCTGGCCACACCACTCCCCTTGCGTCGCCCTCACTCCTTTCTCTTTCTGGATACCGGTCCCCATCTTCACCTGTTCATTTCCTGTATCTTTCACAGTTAAATTCAAATGCTGCCTCTGACATTAGGTCTTTTTAGTTTAATCTAACTGACATTTTAAAAGCAGCCACAGCCCTGGCCTGTGTTGCTCAGTGGGTTGAGCGTCATCTCATGCACCAAAACGTTACCAGTTTGATTCCCGGTCAGGGCACATGCCTGGGGTTTGGGCTCAGTCCTCGGTAGGGGGCGTGCAGGAGGCAGCTGATCAATGTTCTCTTTCACACCTATGTTTCTCTCTCTCTCCCTCTTCTTTCCTCTCTCTCTAAAAATCACTAAAAAAATCTTTTTAAAAAAATAATAAAATAAAAAGTGTCCACAGAGGTTTGCTGAGTGAGTAAATAATAGAATGCCTCAAACTGGATATAAATTTCCCTGCCTGGCCTCCCTGAGGCGTTCGTGTTTATACATTTCTGGGCCTTCCAGCCCGAGCACAGCCAGCTCTTCGGTACAAAAGGTACTCAGGAAATGTTTCTTAAGTTAGGTCAATGCAATTGCCAAAATGAGTCTTTCCCAACCCGCGTTGTGTAAATAATTCTTGCAGCTAGCCTTGTCAAATGTCATTCATGCTTTCACTCATTCAGAAAATGACTTTTCTTGAGGCCTGTTATGTGCTGGTCTCTGTGCCAAGCAGTAGTGCATCGCAGGGGAAATAACCCGCAGCTCCTGCTCCCGGGGGCCCACAGCCCAGTGGAGATACGGATGCGCGAGCGGACACGTGGCCATCCTGCTGGGGAGTAGAATGCTGTGGACACACAGGAGTGGGCAGCTGCCCTGTTCTTGAGGCGAACTTTCAGGATGGTATTGAGCAGCGACTTGCAGGACGTGGGCGGGTTTGCCACGTGGAGAAGGCAGAGAAGCACATGTGACCCACACGTGTCATTGAGGACGGGGGGCGGGGGTGCCCACAGCCTAACAAGTGGGCCTCAGCCAGTGAGGACTGGAGTCGGGTTGGCATTAGGGTGGCTGGCATTCAGGGCTCAGCAGCCATTTGTCCTCTGTACCAGGTGAAGATTCAGCCGTTTGCCCATGACCACAACGTGCCCCCCCTGGAGGCCTTGATTGGGGTGCCAGTGCCTCAGAGTGAGGGGCCCATCACTCACACGTGGGATGTGCAGATGGTGAGTGCTGCCCAGCGGACAGCATGCCCAGGTCTGTGGGGGCGAGTCAGAGAGGGTGCAGGTGCCGGGCAGGGAGTGAGGAGGGATGTCTGACTCTGCCCAGGGCCCGGCGGGGAGAACAGGAACGCCCAGGTCTGTCGGGGCGGAGAGGAAGGCCAGTGTCCTCTCAGCTCTGGACTAACTGATCCTCGTTCCTAGGAGCCTCCTGTCCACTGTCACAATGAGAGCCTGGAAAGGCCACCCAACGCGGCTGAGGTATGGGTGTGTGAGTGCGGAGGGGCTGGCAGCCTGCCGGCCGGAGGACAGGCCCTCAGCCCCTGCCCATCCTTGTTCCCAGCAGCCTTGCTCGCCTGGAGCCCAGTTCCGCTGCCCAGGGGTCTTCCAGAGGGAGGTCCTCGTCCGAGTGACCGGGACTGTGGAGCTGGTGGGGGAGATCAAGGTAGCGATGCCGGCGACCCACAGGAGGGGTTGCGGGCGGGGTGTGGAGGGCTTGCGGGCGGAGGGGGTGAGGGGGGCCTTGTGGGTGGGGGGTTCTCACCTGAGGTCTTCCTGCATTTCCTGTTTTATCTTGAACAGTCCCTGATGTTTACACACTTGCAGGTGAAAGAGAACCATGATGTGTTTGAAATGTGCAGGGCTGTTTTCATAGGTTCTTTATGGGAAAACTTTCCTCCCAGCAGTGGGAGTGGCACACGGGGCTATAGAACTCCAGGCCGGCTGTGATGCGCCCGCTAGGACCCATTCTCCCCCGCGTCCCCCCTTGAATGGAGATGGGGCCGGAGCCAGCGGGTCCTCGGCCCTGATGCCTTCCCACCCCTCCCACAGGCCTCCTCCATGACCAGCCTCTGCAGCTCCCTCTCCGTCTCCTTCAACAGCAGCAAGCACTTCCACCTCTACGGCAGCAACGCCTCCCTGGCCCAGGTATCTATCTCCCCTCCTCCTCCTCCTCCTCCTCCTCCTCCTCCTCCTCCTCCTCCTCAGAAGCCCCGGGAGCAGAGGTCAGCAGAGAGGCTGGAGGGACCGAGGGCAGAGCCGGAAGTGGGCAGCCAGGGAGGAGGTTTGGGCTGAGCACAGTGAGAACTCCCCGCAGCCAGAGCCACCAGCCTTGGCTTTCCCCGCCACTGGTAGGCAAGCAGGCCGCAAGGTCACCTGTCCGAGATGCGTCAGGTAGAGATGGGTTTGATGGCAGCTCAGCGAAGGGGGCCCCACTCCACAGGCAGAGCATGACCGGAAGACGCTAAGGCGAGAGAGCAGCAAGTGCAGGGCCAAGGCTGAGAGAGTTGGGGCTTGGGGGGGGGGGGGGATGTTTGAGAGCGAAGGCTCAGAGCAGGAGAAGGGAAGCTGCAGCTAAAGAGGCGAGCAGAGCAGAAACGCTTCTGGGAGGCTTTGCAGGCGGAGCTGCGATTCCGGCATTTCCTCTGGAACTGAGGGGCCGCCTCAGGGACGGTGGTGCGTGTTCGCCAGCTCACGCTGGTGGCCGCAGCAGGAGGGCCTGGGTCAGAGCCTGGTGTGACACAGTCCAGACTGTAGATCCGAAGACCCGGAGACTGAGGCCAGATTCGCAAGACATCTTGGGGTGGGGCCTTCTCTGCACTCCCTCCTCTCGTCCTCCCCCAGGTCGTCCTGAAGGTTGAAGTCGTGTATGAGAAGGACATGCTCTACCTCTACGTGCTCAGCGGCACCGGGGGGCTGCTGCTGCTGCTGCTCATCTTCCTGGCGCTCTACAAGGTCGGAGCTTCGGGAAGGACGGGCGTGGCTGAGTAGACAGGCTGGGGAGTGGGGAATGACAGTCAGGGAGGAGAATGGCAAGGCCAGGGCTGGGGACCGGGGAGAGGAAGAAGCGCTCGCCCGCTATCCAGAGCCAGGCGCTGGGGTGCGGAGGCGCGGGCCACAAGCATGGCCCCTGCCTCTGTGGAGCTCACAGTCTCGGGGGAGACACAGGGACACGTGACGGAGGCTGCTGTGCGGGGCCTGGTGCTCGGGAGCCTGTAGGCAGGAGCCTCGTAGGCCGAGGCTGCGAAGGCCTCCCAGGGAGGTGGCACTGGAGTTGGGCTTTGAAGGGTGAGGGGAAGTTAGCCAGAGGAAGAGCGCTGGCGGGCAGATGTTGCCTGTAAAACAGGCAAGTAGTCTGGGAAAGAACATAAAATTAGTTTCTTTCTATTGAACCCCAGAGGGTTGTCATGAAAACAACGTTTTTGTTTCTATTCTGTAGGTTGTGGTTTTGGTGTTGGCATATGTGTGTAAGTGTGAGAGAGAGAGATCAGCGTATGTCTGTATCTGTAGATAATGCATATGGATTAGACTGTGTTACTGCCTGGGAACTTGAATTATTCCCAGATGTTATACCTCGATGCCCTCCCCTCTGAGCACAATTATATCCACTTCTCGCTTTGTAACCAGTGGTTTCCTGCCCTCTGGGTGCCCCACCGTTTATTTAACACATTCTCTGTTGGTGAACAATTAGGTTGTTTGTAATTTACATGTTTCAAGCATTATGACAGAAAAGGTTCTTGTTACCCACATCTTCGCACACGGGTCCAAATATTCTTTAAAATTAATTCCTAGCCCTGGAATTGCTGAGCCAAATAATATATATGTCTTGAGCTTTCAGTAGAGACTGCATGACACATACTAAGCACTGTATAAGCATGGGCTCTTACTAATGTTACTCGATATTGTAATATGCACCCCAAGCCACCCACCTAAAGTATTGGTACCTGGCGTTCTCCTGAGCCGAGAGAATGGACCGGTAGCCCTAACTGCTTTGGCTCAGTGGGTAGAGCATCAGCCTGCGGGCTGAAGGGTCCCGGGTTTGATTCTGATCAGGGCACATGTCTGGGTTGTGGGCTCGATCCCCAGTAGGGGGCGTGCAGGAGGCAGCCGATCAATGATTCTCATCATTGATGTTTCTATCTCTCTCTCCCTCTCCCTTTCTCTTTGAAATCAATAAATATATATTTATATATTTTTTAAAAAGAATGAACCAGGAAACGTACAGCTTTTTAGCATTTTGCCAAGAACCAGGTGTGGCAGGCGCTCTTGCCCATCCCTGGAGTGGAACCAGGTGTCGGTGGTTTATTAACATAAAGGGTGCTTTCATGTTTTGCCGGGACCAGCTGTGCTCCAGGGACTGTCTGCTCACTCAGCTCTGGTCTTCCTGCAGGTCGGCTTCTTCAAACGGAACCTGAAGGAGAAGATGGAGGCCGCCGATGCCGCCAATGGCATCCCCGGAGAAGGCCCTGGGCAGGTGGCGTCGGAGGGAGAGGCCATGGACCCCAGCTGCGTGGATCTCCTCCCCAAGGAGGAGGCCCTGGATGGAGGCGGCACGGACTGAGGCCCAGGCCTGACGCAGAGGGCCCGGGGCTGGACTTGGGGTGCTGGTGCCACTCTGCTCCACCTGCATGTCACTGTGTCCTCTAGCCCAGCAGTCGCCAACCTTTCGGACCTCACGGACCCCCAGTGGTCCTCGGACCACCGGTTGGCGACCGCCGCTCTAGCCAGTCTGCCCCTCCCTAGGCTCCCGGGTTTCAGTCTTGAACATGGAGCTCACTCCCGCTTGCCTCCAAGGGACGGGCCAGGAAGGCTGCCAAGGTGAGGCCTTGTGGGTACCAGCTGGTCCTGGCTTCTAACGGCCCCTCTTAGCGTCCTCCCTGGAAGAGAGCATCTGATCTAAATTAGGAGAAACTCGTCCCGGGATCTAGTGACCCTCCCAGCCCTCACACCCACCTGCCGTGGAGGCCCGCGGAGGCCCGCAGAGGCCTCAGGTGCCCAGAGCCTTGCCCCGCTCCCCCCTGCACAGTCCGGCCTCCTTTCTGCCGCCAGAGAGCAGATCTGATCCGTGTCACCGCTTCTGCTGCAAACCCTTGCTCTGTAGCTAGAGACCAAGTTCCTTAATGTGCCTTCCAAACCCGCAAAACAGCCTTCCTGGCCTCTGGTAGAGCCCTCCCACCTCCCTGCTAAGCTCCAGTTACACAGGCGTTTCTCACTCACCAAGCCTTTTCCTGCCTCACTGCCTTCACCCAGACTGCTCTCTGCCCGGGCGTTCCTCCCCCTCTTCCTGGCTGACTCTCCTCAGTCTTCAGATCTCATCTCTCACATCGCTTCCCCAGGGCAGCCCGCCCCCGGCTCATCTGGGTTCCCCTATCATGCGCCTACACTAGCCTGCAACTGTCCGTCACAGCAGGGACCCTATTTGTTCATTGTGAGATGGTTTATTTCATATCCGTATCTCAAATCCAGCAGTGAGCTCCATGGGTAGGGACCGTACCTTGGCATCCCTGATGATGTCACAGAGCTAGACGCGTAGTTGGTGCTTGACACAATGTCACTCCATTAATGGGGGGGCCTGTGGGGAGATAGAGGGAAACGTGTGGATGGGTCCATGGCATCCCTTCTGAAGGTTCAGTCTTCCGCAGGCGCCTACTCCACAGTCCCCGCCAGGACTCGTCACACCCCCGCCGGCCTCCCCTGTGAGACTCTGAGCTCAGGGGTGGGGACCTGCTCCCAGTCCAATAAATGGGAAAGTCTGTCCAATTCTGTGATGTTTCTGTGCTGGAGCCACGGCCCAGCCTGGCTCATTCAATGAACATTTTCTTCTCAACCCTTTCACTAAGTGGGACCCAAACAGTAGCTCTCATCCATCTCTCTCTCTCTTTCTCTCTTTCTCTCTCTCTCTCTCTCTCCCCCCCTGAGACTCACCTGCACCTGCTATTGTGGGCCAGTTCAAAAGAGAAGCAGGGAGAGACACCGGAGTGAGGAGGCTAGGGAAGCACTGACAATTTACTAAGAGGTGAGAGTAGACTAGACTCTCCCTTTTTTAAAAACCCCGAGGCCCCCTCCTTTAGACTGGACAGAGGGGCCAGTCACTACTGCCCTCTTGTGGTCCCTTCTAACTGTCAGGAACATCACAGAACCACTAAAAGCACAGTGTCTGTAGGGTAAACCTGTCAGGTTGTGTTCACTTATGTGATATTTCTTTGAATGCTTTGTGTCATACTCTGTTCTGTGCTCCGAGGACATGGGAAGCTTCACTCCATCGGGAAAACAGTAAAAGGGTGGAAATGTGATTCCAGGTAGTGATAGGGCTGTGAAGAAATAAATCAAAATACCAAGTTAGAGGGTGATGGAGAGGGTCCTCTTAGATGGGTGGTCAGGAAAGTCTCTCTAAAGAGGTGATATTCTGTGACATGGGGGGCGGGGAAAGTCGATATTTGCATCCAGGTTGGAAGCAAAAAAGCACAGAAGATCTGGGAGGCGTGCCCTGGCCGGTGTGGCTCGGTTGGGTGGGTGGCATCCAGTGCAACAAAAGGTTGCTGGTTCGATTCCCAGTCAGGGCACATGCCCGGGGTTTCGAGCTCAGTTTCCAGTCGGGGGAGTGCTGGAAGCAACCAATCACATCAATGCTTCTCTCTCTCCTTCCCCCTTCCTTTTTAAAAAGAAAATATTTTTAAAACTAATTGTTTTAAAAAGATCTGGAGGCTTAGTTCAGGACCAGACCTGCCATCATCGTCCCCAGACATCCCACCTCCCTGACCAGCACGTGTCCTCGCATCTGTGTCCTTTCCGCCGCGCCTTTGCCCATGTGTTCCCCTCGCCAGCATGTGCAGTCCCCGCCTTTCCTATCCATGAAAACCCTCCTACTTCAAAGCACTTCAACGCTTTTCTCAACCCCACAATTCCTGGACAAAAGCCCCCTCCACACCACGTTGTTTGTACCTCATTGGGGCACATAATGTTGTGGAGTGACATTCGCGAGAATAAGACCACCGACTCCAATTAGGTCTTAAACAGCAAGCGAGGATTTATTGAGCTGGCCAGCGACTACAGGTACAGCACCCTGCCGAAGCAGAGGCTGAACTGCAGTGAGGACTACAGGAGTTACATTTTATTATGAAATTCTGTGGAGGCCCAGAGAAAAATGTGTCTTTCAAATTCTGGGCCCCCCCAATATGGAGGAAACTCTCTTTATTTATACTTTTTCCAGTCCTTTGACTCCCAAATTTGGAATGAGACTTCTGGGCCTTCTGAGAAAGAAGGCCTGCGTGCTGGGAAGGGGCCATGAGACCATTTCTCAAGGCCTGGCCTGATGTCAGTACCTTCCTATCTATGTGTTTTAGGAACAGACAGCACAGCATGACCCGTCTGGCCAAAGCGCCGGATATGCAGCCCAGCACATTCCCCACTGGTTTTATGTACGTGAGTCAAAACTTTGACTCTTTTGGGTCATTGTTGGGGAGGGACCCCTGAGGACTATAAGCTTGATAGAATTAATTCTTTGCCGAATAAAGTCAGTGGGCCTGTTTATAAGATAAGGGCCTGGAATGAGGGCCAGGAGTAATCTTCAGAGGGTCCGAAGAGTCCTGGACTCTCTATTTTGCCTGGGCTGTCTTAAGCCGGGTGTGATGAAGCCACATCAGGATCCCGTCGACCTTGACTGCTGTGGGGGTGGTCCTTTCAGTCCTTGGGTGGCAAATTTCTTTACCCAAACAGAGTCACCAGGTTGGAAGGGATGAACGGGATACAGGCAGAACATCTCGGACATGCTTCTGGTCTGCTTTCTGGGTAGACTGTAAAGCCTGAAAGAACTCCTGCAGGATTTTTCAATAAGTCCTCACTGCTTGCCCGGTGATGGATGGGGGAGAGTCTCCTGCCCTAGATAGGGGGTCCCTCTCACCTCTGCCTCCGGGTGAGAGCCTCCTGCCCTAGATAGGGGGTCCCTCTCACCCCTGCCGGGTATCTCACTGCGGCCTCCAAATGTTATGGGTTCACTCAGTGAGATAGACCACCGACTCAGAATTTAAATTTAAGAGCCTTTATTAAGCTGGCCAGCTGACTACAGTCACAGCACCCTGCTGAAGCAAAGGCTGAACTGCAGCCCAGACTACAGGAATTACAGTATTTTTATTTGCAAAAACCACAAAGTTACAAAACCTTAATTCCCGACACAGTATAGCATCATTACCTTCCTATCTATGTGTTTTAGGAATAGACAGCACAGCGCGCCCCGTCTGGCCAAAGTGCCAGATATGCAGCCCAGTACAATAACACTGACTGTGTGGGCTCCTGTCTCGAGAGTAGGAGGTTCTGGAAGGCAGGCCACAGGCCTCACTCAGATATGTTGCCAATACTGACCCCTCACCAGGGCTGGCACAAAGGAAGTGCTCGATGTGGCCCTCAGATGTTTTGGTTTCAGGACCTCTTTATACTCTTAAGAATTATTGAGGATCCCCAAAGAGGTTTGTTGTTGTTGTTTTTTTGTTTTTTTACATGGGTTACATCCAGTTATATCTGGTTAGAAATTAAATGGAGAAAAAATGTAAAGCATAACACCCAAGCCTACAGGCCACACAGCCCATCAGAGTGATGCCATCTGCCATGATGGATCACACGGCCTCTAGGAAACACTCCACTCATGGGAGAGAGACGGCGACAAAGTAAATAACAGCTTAGTGTTGATACGAAAGGAGTCAAAACCCAGTCAGCCCTGGGTTTGAATCCAGCTCTGCTGTGCGATGTGGGGTAATTACTTATCCTCTCTGGGACTCATTTCTTCATCTGTAAAATAGAAATAACTGTACAGGGGTGGGCAAAAGTAGGTTTGCAGTTATTTGTATGGAAAATAATAATAATACAAGAATAAACTCTGTGTTTCACATACTCAAAACAGTAAACCTACTTGTGCTCCATCTCAGAGCCGTTATGAGCATTAAATAGCACTTATAAACTGTGGATCACTGTTCCTAGCCCATCAGTGCCTGATAACAGTGGGCAGAAATGGTGGTTTATTTTTTTTTAATGTAATTTTATTGATTTCAGAGAGGAAGGGAGAGAGAGAGAAACATCAATGATGAGAGAGAATCATAGATCGGCTGCCTCCTGCACGCCCCCCACTGGGGATGGAGCCCACAACCCAGGCATGTGCCTTGGCCGGAATCAAACCTGGGACCCTTCAGTCCACAGGCTGACACTCTATCCACTGAGCCAAGCCGGCTACGGCAGAAATGGTGGTTTAGATGTGTAGGATGGTGTGGTAAAAGCAGCGTCCTGGACCACAAGTCAAAACAGCTGGTGTTGGAGTTCTGGCTCTCCCACTAGCTCTCCCACCGTGATGTTAGGAAGACGCATGCTCTTCCTGGGTCTGGTCTGCCCCACCTGGGATGTGGAGGTACCTTGGGAATTGTCATGAGAGAAAGGGGTGGGGGCTGAGCAGCTGAGCCCCACCCTCATTTGATCAGCTTTTATATACTAACTAGTGGCCTGGTGCATGAAATTGATGCACATTAAAAGGGAATTAATTAGAGGAAATATTTTAAGATTGCTATTTGCCCTTTCCCTATAATAGAAGTATCAGAGATGAAAGAAAATTAGTAAAATGTATATGAAAATCTCCCTCCTGCCCTAACCGGTTTGGTTCAGTGGATAGAGCATCGGCCTGTGGACTCAAGGGTCCCAGGTTCGATTCCGGTCAAGGGCATGTACTTTGGTCGTGGGCACATCCCCAGTGGGGGGGGGGGGGGTGCAGGAGGCAGCTGATCGATGTTTCTCTCCCATCGATGTTTCTAATTCTCTATCCCTCTCCCTTCCTCTCTGTAAAAAATCAATAAAATATATATTTTTTAAAAAATCTCCCTCCTGTCAGGGTCTGGGGCGTGCCGTGGGACCCAGAGTCAAGTCCCCACCCACCTGCACATGCTTCGAAATCGCAGGAGACCCAGACCCGGACAGCCCCACTCCCATTGGGCGAGACCCAGACCCAGCCAGCCCCACCCCCATCAAGCCCCGCCAGGTGGGGGGCACAGCCTCAGGTCCCCCATCAAGCCCTGCCGGGCAGGGGGTGCGGCCTGAAGTCCCCCACCCTGGCCAGGTGCCACGCAGCCTCAGGTCCCTGCTGATTGGTCGTCAT